AGAAAGGTGACAGAGGTAGGGTGGGGTCTGAGCTGCTCCTCCCAGGGACTCGGGCTTCCTGCCCCTAAACCTGATATCTAGACTTCAAGGGGAGGAGGAAGGACCAAGTGTAGCCCACAAATGCAAACGAGGCCATCTCCTACCTCTATCCTCTTATAGGGAGCTGGAAACTAGGGAGTCCTGTTTAGGCCTGGGAAGGGAGCCAGGCTGGCTTGTGATTTTCACCTGCCTCTTCTCAGCTCAGGGAAACCAGGACTGGGCCACTCTGCTCTGAATAATGAATGAAAGGCTAAAATTGGGACCTGATGAGCTAGTAGCTGGTGCAGAGCCTTGCTTGCCAAGGCTTCCAGCGCCTGGCTCTCAGGCGGTGCTAGGAGGTGGTGTCGCTGCACTCTGCAACAGAAGCAGCCCCCATACATCCAGACATGAACTGAGGGAGGACCCAAACCAGGGAAGAGCCTAAAACTCATACTTGTCAAGACAGACCAGTGTTCTGAAAGTTCCCTTTAAAAAGGGTAACTGCGGGAGGCGCCTGTGGCTCAGTGAGTAGGGCGCTGGCCCCATATACCGAGGGTGGTGGGTTTGAACCTAGCCCCAGCCAAACTGCAACAAAAAATAGCTGGGTGTTGTGGTGGGCGCCTGTAGTCCTAGCTACTCAGGGAGGCTGAGGCAAGAGAATCGCCTAGGCCCGGGAGTTGGAGGTTGCTGTGAGCTGGACCACAGCACTCTACCAAAGGCAATAAAGTGAGACTCTTGTCTCTTAAAAAAAAAAAAGGTAACTGCCAGAGTGATGCACAGTGGCCAGCTTGGGCCACCCCTGCTCTGAAGGGCCAGCCCTTCAGATTCCGAAGCTTACAGTGACACTCAAACCTGCTCACATGCTCTGTGAGACACTACCAGAGTCACAAATGGTGAAAGCCTAGATTGGATTTCAGACTGTGAAGTCCAGGGTGTTTCTGGTTGCATAATCTAATCTCCTATCACCTATATCTTGTTAAATAAAAAGGACAAGAGAACTAAAGAGCCATACAGGGTAAGTGTCAATGCTGCCTGTGCCTTGACCCTGTGGCAACAAGTCACTCCACAGATTGGGGTGGGGGGGGCGGTGTCTATGTCCTTTTGTTTGCAGTGTTGGGTTTTTTTGGTCGGGGCTGGGTTTCAACCCGCCACCTCCGGCATGGGGCTGCCACCCTACTCCTTTGAGCCATAGGTGCCGCCCTGGGATCTGTGTCCTTTTAAGTGTTGCAGTGCTGCTTACATTTGGCAGAGGACACCTGGGGAGGAGCTGGGGTCCTTGGGAGCGCTGGTCCAGGCGCCACCCCTCAGCAAGCCATCCCTCCCAAGATGGGAAGGGCTCTTGTAAGGTCCAGGCCAGGGGCCAGCCCATGTCCTACTTCAGTCTACACCCCTCCTTCTGGATGGGGAGGGTTGTTAGTGGCTCCCCCTTAGGAGCCACAGCTACAGGTAGGCAGGGAGCACTGATCTGGCACTAGCAAACATTCACTGTCCTGGGCAGGGTCCCAGAAAAGCTGGCTGAGCCAGGATGTGTGAACATGACCTGGGCCACTATAAAAGTAGTTTGAGGACCAGGGCTGGTCAAGAGCTGTTTCCCCAGCCCACAGCAACACCCCAGCAAGATGGTGTGCCCAAGCAGGCTTCTTGTGCTGAGGCTGAGGCCATGGAAACTGTCATGGTGAGTTCTCACTACCCCATGGTGGCTGTCAATTTAGTGACAGAGCCCCAGGCTCCACAGGGAGAAGGGAAAGGAGATGATGGTAGCTTCTGGAGCCCAAGCCGTTCCCCCCACCCCCCAGCTCCCATGTGCCTGTGATGGATGAAGTTCTCGGAGCTGACCCCAGGCAAGGAGTGCAGGGCACAGCAACCCCCTATCCAGAGACCTGTGGTCACCACAGGGTGTTTCCTCTGGCTGAGGGCACATCCCACCCATTAAGGAGCACTTTCCATATGGGCCTTCAGGTGGGCACCAGCAGTGTCCTCTCTGAAAAAAGAGGAAATGTACACTTCCATGTGCAATACCCCACTACTGGCACCCTCTCCCTGCAGGTGCCAGCCTGCTCCCTGTCCTCCTTTAGCTCCCAAGGCCCCACCCTCTGAGCTGACTCTGGAGTCAAGGGTCACTAGGAGCAGGTCCCCTTGAAGCTACTGCTGGAGTGAAGGATGTGGGTTTATGGCAGTTTGACAGTCGTCTTTTCCCCTCGAACTTTAACTTCTAATCAAGGAACTCGGGCCAAAGGTACTCCCCAGACTGAGCCCTCATCTCCTAGTGCTCCTGCCCTGACCCCATGCCAGGGCTGCTGTGTCCAGACACCCCCACTTGGCAGGTAAAGGAATGAAATAAAGAGCCTAAATGAATTGTGCTGCCTTAGGCAATGTTTAATCCAGAAGAGGGCCCGACTGTGGTCTGACCACTACTGGAAACCACCAGGGGTGCCCGCCTACCTGCAACCCTAGTGTATAGATAGCTGGCTCAGCCCCATCCAAGCTGGTGGAGACCTCCCAGTTCACAACCTCCTGGCATCCCCTCTCAGTTGTATCCAAGCTGCCCTGACAACAATGTACCCCTAACTTACTCCCCTGGTCTTCCCTCTGCTCCCCTCCTCCCTCAGGAGTCTGCCTCAGGGCCTTTTCCTGCTGATTTCCCAGGTTCTCCTGCCTCTCTCCCCACCCCCGCTGTGTGGACTGGCAGAGCTGCTGCTCCTGGTGTCCCCACACTCCTGGCAGGGCTGAGACTTACGATGGCCAAACAGTCTCTGTCTCGGTGGTTAGAAACAGGAACCTCACTGAGGTTCCCACTGCAATGGCCTGCTCAGGGAAGTGGTGACTTCCAGCTACCCCAGGCCAGGGAACCAATACAAGAGGGCAGCCGCAGAGAATGAGACAGCCCTAAGAGTAACTTCCAAGCCCCTGGATCCAACCTTATCTGTCAGTGATGCCACAAGATTTTGTGTTTCTCCTCCTTCCTGCTAAGGTCCTGACCAGTTTGCATGTGCCCACATGTGTGCCTAAGAGCCTGGGGCGCCTGTAGTGTGGTTCCACCACTCCTTGCTTCATGTCTCTGCTCCCAGTACCCCTTGGCTGCTCAGGGGCAGGGGCAGTACCTGACCCTTGATTAATGCGAGCTCCTCTCTGAGCCACCCTCTGACAGTGTGATCCACCTCCAGTTTCCACTTAGGGATTCCCCTTTTGGGGTGGGGGAGCTGAATGTCAGTACCCCATGACCACCCAGCCCCAGCCCCTCCTGTTACACCACCTTCAATTCATTGTGGCTGCAGCTATGACTTCATCCTTCCTGTCTCTTTTTATTGTTACTTCTTTTAGGAAGCCTCTTCTGACTGCCTACGTGGCCTCACTGTCCTCTCCATACTGCACAGTCTCTCTGGGAGTGGGGTGCCCAGCTGGGACAGCAGTGGTCAAAGAGGTGTTTTTTTGGGGCAAAATCCCTGTTGCCCTAGGTGGAGTGCTATAGCATCATAACACACAGCAACCTCAACCTTTTGGGTTTAACCAATTCTCTCGTCTCAGCCTCTTGAGTAGCTGGTAGTATAGGCGCCCACCACAACACTCAGCTAGTTTGTATATTTTTACTAGAGACAGGGTCTTGCTCTTTCTCAGGAGTCTCAAACGTCAACTCAGGTGATCCACCCACCTTGGCCAAGTCAAAGAGGTTCTGTTTCCCTAAGTCTCAGCCATTTAACCCTCTGAAGCCTCTCCTGTGTCAAGAAAAGGAGCCCCAGTCTCTGGGCAGGCCTGGGCTACTTCTGGGCTCCAGGAGATGTCATTTGCTCATCCCCACAGATCACTGTGCATTGAGAGCCAGAGGGGAAGGAAGAGCAGAGCAGGACACTCCAGGGTGGAGTCCTAGGAGGCCCAATCAGTAAAACAGCCTCCTTTTCAATGAGAAGCAAGACAAAGGACAAAGCAGATGTGACCCAGAAATATTTCCATTGCTTCTGGTTGAAGCTACTGTGGAAGATGGAGCTTCTGGTGAATCCACAGGGGGACAAAGTCAACCCTCAGGACCTTGTAGATCCACTCTCCTGGTCCCAGGTAGGGCTGACAGGACCCCAAGAGCAGGTGCCTCAGCTTGAAGGTGGTTCCATCAGGAGAGAGTGTGGCAGTCACTGACTGGTATGCTCAGGCTTTTTGGTCAGAGAAGTTGCAGCCCCTGTCCAGGACATAAAAAGAGCATATCCCAGTGGTGGGCTCCTTTCTCTGACGAAATGTCTTGCTCACAGAAGAAGCAAAGTCTAGTTGGATAAAAGCATACATGCAGTAGGTGTTCATCCACTATCCATCCATCCATTCCTTCACCATTAACCATCTACTCATTCATCAGCCTCATCCATCCACCCACCCACCCACCATGTACCATCTACTCTACCATTATTGATCCACCCACCATCTACCATCTACCCTTCCACTATCCATCCATCCACTATCCACCAATCCACCATCTACCATCCACCCTTTCACTGTCCATCCACCATCAGTCCATCTACCATCTATCCATCTTCTACCATCCATCCACCCTCCATAAGCCGTCTACTGCTGACCACCTGTTAATCTCCACCATTGTGGATCATCCACATACCTTATCTCTACTCTCCTCCCCTGTTATCCAACCATCCACAGTTTGTCCATCTCCATCTGGAGAAGTGGATGCCCAACCTCAATAGGTGAGCAAAATGGGTTCAGCCCCAGGCTTCCAGAACAGAGAAGGGGTGAGCCAGGAAGTTGTTTCCTGCCACTCCTCACCACCCACACACCCTCATTTCACAGGCGCAGGTCCACCTTGCCACGGTCCCTTCCTGGGCACCCCAGGTGCTGGAGGGGAGGGTGTGGAGAGGCCCAGGAGGTGCCTGGAGGGGCAGATCTGAGGTGAATGTGTAACTAACCCAGTGCTCCCATCCTCGTTCTCCTGGTCACATGGGCCCCTCAGGGCAAAGTCTCAGGACTGGAGACACTGGGAGCTGGATGAGATGGGCGCTTTGGGCCAAGTGCTGCTGTGGCTGCAGCTCTACAGTAAGCCAGGGGTGGGCAGTGAGGGGTTGGGGGGAGATGAATCCCTGCTCCTCAGGCGAGCTCGGGCCCAGCCCAGCCCAGGCAAAGTAGGAGGCAACACAGGCTTTAGATCCTCTCAGAGTAGCTGTAGCTATTGTGTTGTGCATGGGAGTCTGTGGGGCTCTGCAGACGCCTCAGTCTCCTGGTTAGTGAGTACCTGTGCCCTGCCCTGAGCTCCTTGAGGCTTCCTCAGGACATAGACCGCCCGCCAGCCCCTTCTTTGCTGGACTTGGTCAGACTCCTCCAGGAAACCCTCCTGATTTCAAGGCAGAGGAACAGGCCTGCGCTGCCCTTTCTCCTCCATCCCCTGACCGTCCCATCCTCTGCTCCAGCCCAGGGGAAACTGGGGGTGGGGCAGGGAGGGAATCCAGGTAGGCATCTTGCAGGGGGGCACATTTGAGCAGGCTCTGTTGTGGCGGGGCTCCCTCAGGGTCTGCCTTGAGGCGCCCAGGGACCCCATATGCTCCCAGGATGTGACCTGCCCACCAGGCTGCTGTGCTTCTCTCAGTGGGTTGTCCTCCCTGGGGGAGAGGAACTTTGGGAGAGAACAGGGCAGGCATTCAGTCACCTCCTCCCCAGCACTGACCCTGGCTGCCTACAAACTCTGGATTCCCAACACCAACTTTGATGCCGCCGCCAACTGGAATCAGAATCGGACCCCGTGTGCGGGCAGTGCAGTCGAGTTCCCACCTGATAAGGTGCCTCAGAGGCCCCACTGGGGTCCTGCGTGGTCCGGCCTGGGGTGGGATTCTCTAGCAACCGGTGCTGATGCGGCTTCTTCCTGTAGATGGTGTCGGTCCTGGTACAAGAAGGTTACCCCATCTCGGACATGGTAAGGCACCCCAGAAGCTCCTTTCTCCACTGTTGTGCCTCGAGACCACCTATGAGGTGGGCACAGCTTCAGGGGGGTGGGGTTGCACAGAAGGGGCCAGGCTCTGCCCTTGGAGAGTGGTAGGAATCTCCTGTTCCCACAGCCCTAATCCTGAGCCCCTGAGTCTGTCTGATCTAAGGTTCTCCCTGGGGACCCTTCTCCCTGTACTCCCCCACAAGGCTGTCTCTGTCCAGGTACTTGAAACCCCGCTTTTAGCCTGTGCCCTAGTTTTCAGGGATTAGGAGGAAAGGAGGGGTTCTAGGGCCGCGGGAGTGTGGGGAATGCGTTGGCATCCTGCACTTGTGTTAGGTGTCTCCATGCACTGCAGTCTCCAGTGGGCCCAGAAAAAGAGGCCGATGCCTCTGCTTAAGCAATCCAAGGCCAAGTGCAGTCCCTGTGGCTGGATAGAGCTAAGGGTACAGCTAAGGTTTTTACATTTTTAAATGGTGGAGAAAAATATTTTGTGGCATTGGGAAAAGTATATGAAATTCTATTTCAGTGCCCATAAAATATAGTTTTATCAGCTCACTAGTCCAGGCCATTCAGTCTTCAGTATCTGTGGCCCCTGTCACATTACCAGGGCAGCACAGTGCCTATAATCCTAGCACTCTGGGGAGGCCAAGGTGGGAGGATCCCTTGAGCTCAGGAGTTTGAGACCAGCCTCAGGAAGAGTGAGACCCCATCTCTACTAAAAATAGAAAAACAAGCCAGGTGTTGTGGCAGGTGCCTGTAGTCACAGCTACTCTGGAAGCTGAGGCAGGAAGATCGCTTGAACCCAGGAGTTTGAGGTTGCTGTGAGCTAGGCTGATACCATGGCACTCTAGCCTGGAAAACAGAGTGAGACTGTCTCCAAGACAAAAACAAAACAAAAACAAAACAAAACAAACAAACAAAAAAAGGCTAGAGTCAGGTAGTTGTGAGGGAGGCTGTGTGGCCCTGCAAACTCCTGGGTTAAAGCATTGCATCCTTTAAGGTGAAACTCCTTCTTGAGTGGCTGGGTCATTGTCCTGTCACCTGTGTACTTGTTAGCATCAGCTACCCCTTTAGTGAAGGCCACAGGCCAGCTGGGGTGAGGCTCTGGCTCTGTATGGCTTCTGAGGTGGGTGGAAGCGGCCCACTTGCCCCTGGCCTGACCCAGTGTCCTGGGATGCAGGCTCAGGGACTTCAGACCTATTTTCCATTCTGAGGGCTGCTCTGTGGGTTACTTTTGGTTTTTCAAAGCAGCATTAGCTCTGGGAGCCCACAAGTATAGATAGCGCTGGGGAGGTGGGGGTTCGAGCAGAGGCTGGGTTTCCCTGGGACCCTGTAGGTCGCAGGGGGAATGCCCATCCCTCCTCCCTCCAATACGAAAACTAAAGTGAGGAAGTACAGCATGCATGTAACCTGGGCAACCCTGCACCAGGAGAGGGGGCGTGGGAGCTGGTGGCTCCTTCTGGCAGAGGAGTAGGGTGGGGGTTGCTGGGGCCTGGAGGCCATTCTCACTCTCCACCCACTTGGTCACTTTGATGATCTCCTTTGGAAGAGCTTTGAGAGTGCAACATTCTTCCTTCTTCATTCATTCATTGTTTGTGTTTATTCATTGCTCAGTGTTCTCCGGGTGACCCAGGTGTCCATACCCAGCCGCTTAGGTGGGAGCCCTTCCTTCTTTTCTGGGTAACTGGGGTAGGACTCCTGTTCCCTACCTGGTCTGCAACTCCTATGCATGGGCTCAGGGGTGCCCTCCTCATCTCACCAGCTGCCCTTCAGTGCCCTGTGGGTGGAAACAACCCAAGGGCAATGGCAGTGCCCCCCCCATCCCTGCTACAGAGTCAAATTTAACTCAGTGTTGCCTACTGCTAGACCTGCCCCCTGCCCCTGCCACACTTCCACCACTCAGCCTCTAGCGTCATCCATCTGTCCGGATGGTATGCAGAGTAACAGGCCAAGCACAGCAGTATTTTGTGTTCCCTGGTTTGGAGCTTCCATCCCTAGGATTTGCCTTTTCCTTACCTTCTCCTTCTCATTTCTACCCTCTGCCTAGCTTTCTTGTGGAGGGGAGTCTCCTATTTTGTATCCATCAATCTATTGTTGGTTTGGGATACTGTGACTTGCCTGCAGGTGCCCTGGTCTAAATAGAAGGCCTCACTTTAACCTACCAAATGCAAAACCCAATGCCTTATATATCTGTCTTTGGTGTTTTGTTTAAGAATCCCTTCTTGGCTCGGTGCCTATAGCTCAACCGGCTAAGGCGCCAGCCATGTACACCTAAGGTGGCGGGTTCGAATCCCCAACTCAGACCCGCCAAACAACGACGGTTGCAACCAAAAAATAGCCGGGCGTTGTGGCGGGCACCCGTGGTCCCAGCTACTTGGGAGGCAGAGGCAAGAGACTCGCTTGAGCCCAGGAGTTGGAGGTTGCTGTGAGCTGTAATGCCATGGCACTCTACCCAGGGAGATAGCTTGAGGCTCTGTCTCAAAAAAAAAAAAAGAATCCCTTCTTTGTTCCTTGGTCACAACTTAATCAGCTATGCATATGCAGGGCACATGTCACACCATATGACACTAGCTAGGGAGCCAGCCTTAGTTCTCCCCTCAGAATGCACTGGTTTCTAACTACCTCCTTCAAACCACCAGCCTGCCCTGTGGGGCTTTGCCACTCTGTGCGGCTCCTAGTCTGTGAACGCAGGGCTCTGTGGGTTGTCTCAGTATCTATGCCCCTCCTTTACTCTTCCATTCCAAGGTTCTTTGTGGGTTTGATTATTGCAGAATAATTGTAGAATAGGTTAACCATGGAACCCCTGCTACCACCACCACAAAACCCCCTGGCATTTTGATTGGAGTGAAACAGCTTTTTACTGTCAAGTCATCCATTCAAGAGCAGGGCTCCAAGTATTTCAGATCATCCATGTCCTTTCTTATAGTCTTAAAATGTTCCCCATAGAGATCTTGTATAATTTTAGTTAATTCATAAAAACATTATAAGTTTGGTTACTACCATGTATTTTGCCCATATTTAAAAATTATATTCTCTACTGGTTATTTTTGTAAGTAATGACAGTTGCTCCTCTTCCTTTCCAGTCTTCATTCATTTTGCTTCTTTTTCTTTCCTTGTAGCATTGTGTAGGAACTCTACTTCTATGTTAAACAAAAGTGATGAAAATGGGCATCCTTGTCTCATTCCAATGTTAAAAAGGAAATCTAAGTTTCTCCATTGAATATGTTTGCTGTAGGTTTTTGGTATATAAACTTTATTACCCTGGAAATTCTATTCTATTGCTAGTTTGCTAACAGCTCTTAAAAAAAACATGAATAGACGAGGTTCGGTGGTTCATTCCTATAACCCTAGTACTTTGGAGGTTGAGAAGAGAGGATACTTGAGGCCAGGAGTTCAGGTCAAAGTACCTCTTGTAGGGCCGGGTGCAGTATCTCAGTTTATATACCAAAAACCTACAGCCTGTAATCTTGGTCCTTTGGAAGGCCAGGTGGCAGGTCCCTTGAGGCCAGGAATTCAAGACCAGCCTCAGCAACACAGCTGACCCCTCTACACAAAATGTAACACTTCCTCAAGACACTGGACTTCCCTCTGTCACAGTATGTTGATTTTGCTGGCCCAAGACCCTCCACTGCCACCTGCTGGAACACCTTTATATATCCGGTGGTGGTCCGGTTGACGTAGCCCCCAATCTTCAGTTCCTGAATTCTTGGGACTTGAACCCTACTTAAAAATTTTTTAAAGAAATTGTAAGACTTTATTTTTTAGAGCATTTTAGGTTCATAGCAAAACTGGCCAGAAGATACAGAAGTTTCCCATATTATCCTCCCTCCCCCAGTACATAGCCTCCTCTACCAAAAAGGTGCATTTTTTACAACTGATGAACCCACCCTCACACATCGTTACCACCTAGCGTCTATAGTTTAAGGTTGGGCTCACTCTTGGTTTTGTACAGCATTTAAAAAATACACTATTGGCTCTAATTAGCTAATATTTTAGCTATTTTTGCAACTGCTTTATTAGTAAAATGGGACGACAGTTTTTCTTGTTTTGTCTTTCATCTTGTAGGTCTTGCCGCTGGATGGGGAACTCATCCTAGCCTCGGGAGCCGGATTCAGTGCTTCAGAGGCGAGCTCGCGACTGGACTGTAGCTCAGGTGGGGCCGGGAGCGGAGCTAGGAGGGTCGGGCCCTGGGCGCGTCCGGGCGGGGACTGGGAAGACAGCGTGTTCGGAGACCTAGACGGGAGTGCGAGCCCAAAGCCAGCCCTGGGGAGGGCGTGTCAAGGGGCGGGCGGGGCCGCGCCCGGCGTCGCTTAGGGTCTTAAGGCCGCCCAGGCGCCCCCGCCCTCTTCCGCGACCCGGACCGCTTCTTCTGGCATGACCCGCATCTGTGGAGCTCTGCGGACGAGGTGCTCGGCCTCTTCTCCGTGGACGCAGAGCGCGTGCCCTGCCGCCACGACGACGTCTTCTTCCCGCCCAACGCCTCCTTCCGCGTGGGACTCGGCCCGGGAGCCAGCCCCGTGCGCGTCCGCAGCATCTCGGCTCTGGGCCAGGTGAGCAGGAGGGAGACTCCAGAGGGTACCAGCCGGGCGCATCCCCAGCACCCCCACATCCCTCCTAGTCTGCACAGGTGGGTTCTGAACATTCGGATAATGTCTCTCCTTGGGGTGGCTCCGCTGTGAGCCGGCCACCACAGACGTTCACACGCAACGAGGACCTGGCCGCTTTCCTGGCGTCCCGCGCAGGCCGCCTGCGCTTCCACGGTCCAGGCGAGCTGAGTTTGGGGCCCGAGGCCTGCGTCGACCCTTCGGGGTGCGTCTGCGGCAACCACGAGGTGAGAGCGGCCGCGGCACGTTCGGAGGCGGGGAAGAGAACCGCGCCAGGTCGGGACAGTGGCGGGCTCACCTCCCTGGGGCGCATCGCCCTCTCTCGCTGAAGTCCGCCCTCGCCTTCTCGGCGCTGACCACCGCGACCTCGCCCCCCCAGGCTCAGCCGTGGATCTGCGCAGCTCTGCTGCAGCCCCTGGGCGGCCGCTGTCCCCCAGCCACCTGCCAAGACGCCCTCCGGCCTGAGGGGCAGTGCTGCGACCTCTGCGGTGAGCATCTCGCCTGGCGCCTGCTTGCTGGGACAGCCCGACGGATCTTGACTCGCTTTGGACAGTTTCCCTGTCCAGCCCGGATCCATGGCGCTAACCCCTGCACTTTTGCTGCAGGAGCCATTGTGTCACTGACCCATGGTCCAGCGTTTGACCTGGAGCGGTACCGGGTGCGGCTGCTGGACACTTTTCTGGCCCTGGTAATGGGGCTGCGGCAGGCAGCGGGAGGGGTGTCCCGACCCGGGCCACACCATCTCGGCAGCCCCCGCCTCGGCCACCCCACTGCAAGGTCTCCGGGACCCCATTCCGCCGCCTCCTTGGCGATGACACTCTTCCCCCACTGTCCACCACTTGCCTCTGCCCCCGGCGTCCCTGCAGGCTGGAGGGGCTGAGTGCAGGGCCAATGATGTCCCCCTCAACCTCGCTCCCAGCCTCAGTACCAGGGGCTACAAGTGGCCGTGTCCAAGGTGCTGCGGTCGTCCAATCTCCGCGAGGCAGACACAGAGATCCAGGTTGTGATTGTGGAGACCCGGCCCGCGACCGGCGGCGCGGCGCGGCTGGCGCGGGCCCTCCTGGCAGACGTCGCCAAACACGGTACTCGCGCTCCCTGTCCGCCCCGCCTCCACCCACCCTCTGCGGCTGGAGACTGAGCAGGCTCCTCGGTTGCAGGCGAGGCCCTTGGGGTCCTGGCGGCGGTCTTGCGGGAGTCCGGCGCGCCCGCCGAGGGAGGTTCCTTCACCGGGCCGGACCGGCCGGGGCCCCACGCAGGGCTGGTGGGCGGCTCAGTGTCGGCTGCGGTGCTGCTGGCGCTGTTGGCGTTGTTAGCAGTGGTGGTGTGGCTGCGCGGAGCCAGGAGCTTTAGGTACACAAGGCGGGGCAGGCGCGCGCGCGGTGGGGGTGCTGTCCCCAGGGGTTAACTCCACGTGCCCACTCCAGGTGGAGCTGGCGCGACCAGGCGGCATCTGAGCTGGCCCGGGTGCCCCAGGGCTTCCACAACCCGGTGTTCGATGCAGCGGCCTCTGAGGAGCAGGTGAGGGCCCGGAGTGGGTGAGATTCCTTCCCGGGGAGGGCGAGGAGTCCTGAAGCTCTTTGACACTGTGTCCCTGCAGACCACAGCGCGGCCACCTAACCTGGCCCCCAAACTGGACACTGGCACCACCAGCCACAGTTACTTCGTTAACCCACTGTTTGCCGAGGCCGAGGCCTGAGCTGCCACCTGACCCTTGACAGCCCCCAGCCCAGGCCTCTTGTCCTGCCTCACCCCACCTGCCGGCACCTAACCTACTCCCTCCTCCCCCACTGGAGGCCTAGGACAGGCCTTGCCCAATAAAGATGTTCTGTACCTGCTGTCAGTTTGGACATGCCAGCGCTGCTTGCTTGGGAGCTGAGATGGCAAAGGTGGACAGGGGTGTGTCTGTCCACCCCTTGTGGGGGTGGCTCGTTCTGACCAATAAGCAGCCAGGTCCAGGGTGGCCAGAAGCTCTGGTCTGTGACTTGAACCCAGAACCAAAAATGTTGCTTGCTTGCCCTTGTCTCTGAAGGAATAGCCTGGAAAGAACCTGCTGATGGTGTGGGAGAGGCCAGCAGGAGGAGGAGCTGAGTGAGGGGCCAGGCAGGGTGGAGGTGGAGTGTTTTGCACTATCCCTCATCATGGTGCTAGGATGCTCAGGCCCTGGCTTCACTGAGCTCAGACAGGGAGAGGACCAGCCAGGTGGACACCAACAGCCTTGCACAACATTCTGTCCTGGAAGAACAGGGTGGACCTACCCCCTGTACAGAGGCACCAAGGAGAGCACTGGGACACAGCTGCCTGGAAAGTGCATGGAAGATGTCAGAGTGCTGACGGGTGGGTCCTGCTGGGTAGGCAGCCTCTCACAGCCAGGGGGTCTGGTGTCTATCATTACAAGGCCAGGTCTTGCCCTCCCTGCTCTGATCTAGGGGCCGGGTGCCATTAGGATACCCACCTGGCATGTCACAGGTCACATTATGTACATGTACACCACTGTATTGACACAGACATAGGCAGCAAGCCCATGTGCACAGCATGAACTTCTGTGTAACCAGCACTGGGTCTGGAGAAGTTACTGGTCCCTCTGTCGTGGCCTGGGCTCCACTTGGGCATATCTCTATAGACTTCTGACTAGGGTATTTGTCTAGCCACTGTAAAGCTTCCTGTCAACAGATGAGAGCATTGTGCTCTCCATGGCCACTCTGTCTGTGGTACTTGCTCATGTGTATGGTTGGAATGGTTTATTTTTTGAGATAGGAGTCTCAGTTGCCCTGGGGTTGAGTGCCATGGTGTCATAGCTCACAGTAACCTCAAACTCTTGGGCTCAAGTGATTCTCTTGTCTCAGCCTCCAGAGTACCTAGGACTACATGTGCCCAACACAACACCTGGCTAGTTTGTTTCTGTTTTTTTCTTTTTGGCTAGGGCTGGGTTTGAACCCGCCACCTCCGGTATATGGGGCTGGCGCCCTACTCTTTGAGCCACAGGTACTGCCCTCTGTGTTTTTTTTTTAATAGTAGAGATGGGGGTCTCACTCTTGCTCAGGCTAGTTTTAAACTCTAGAGCTCAGGTGATCCACCCACCTCAGCCTCCCAGAGTGCTAGGTTTACAGGTGTCAACTACTGTGCCCAGTTTGGAATTTGTCATTCTTGATACTGTATAGCTTGGGCCCCAGTGTGGAGGCTGCAGACTGATACTAGGGTCTGTAGCCTATTAGTAAACAGGCCACACAGCAGGAAGTGAGTGAGCAAAGCTTCCTTTGTATTTACAACTGCCCCTCCTGCTCATATCACTGTCTAATCTCTGCCTCCTATCACATCAGCGGCCCCATTAGATTCTCATAGGTGTGAACCCTACTGTAAACTGCATTAGATCTAGGATCTAGGTTGCCTGCTCCTTAGGAGAATCTAATGCCCACTCCAGCCCCCTCGCTCAGGTCTCTGGGAAAAATTGTTTACCAACATATAGTCCCTGGGGCCAAAAAGGTTGGGGACTGCTGCTGTATACTATTTTGTATGAATGCCACAGTTCATTATTTACTCTAAGAGCTGAAATTTCATAATTAAACAGTGGGCAACACTTGCACACTATTTCAGACCCACTATAGGCACTTAGCAGTCACTTCAGGCTTTAAGGCGGGAGCTGGGGGCGAAGGCTATCTGACCCCAAAGCTCTGCCACCTACTGCCCCAGGTTTCCATCCATCCACCCAGCACTCATTGCTGTGCATTTTCCAGTTTTTCTAGCTGCTGTATTTCGGCCAAGTGTTTTTGGCAGTGTTTGTGTCTGTGCAGCCATTGCTGCTCCCACCCCTCAGTCCCATTTGGGGGGGCAGATGGGTAGGCTGTAGGCTGTCTGTCCCCTGGGAAGTCAGGTATGAGGCCAGACTTGCCCAGGAAATGGAAGCAGATTGATGCTCCTAAGATTTGCCATGTTCCTTTCCTTGCACCACATCTTGGGTGACAACATTAAGTTGTGCTGGCTGTGCACAAAGAAGCTCTATGCTTCCGTGGGAGCTCCTAGTTTTGGTAGCAGGCACTGTCAGTGCTGAGTAGCACAGAGCTGTGGGGTCACAGGCAGCCTCCTGCCACCCTTCTCTCTTTTCATCACCCTCTTTGGCAAATGATGAACTGCCTTCATCTGGCCAAGTACTCCACCCCATTGTGATCACCCATCCTGGCCTCTGGCCTGTCTCATCCTATCCCTTCAGGCTGCTGCAGAGGCCATTCTGCATGGGTGTGGGCAGGTGAGCCTGCTAGGCACTTTCCCTGTCCTACCTTGGGCTGCCCCGCCCATGCCCTGAGGGCTTCTCTCTTCTCAGGCTAAAATTCGAACTCTTGGGTTACTCCTTGTCTTCAGCTGAGGTCTCTTGGTGGGACCTGAAAACTCAGAAGCACTTGGCCAGACTGGCCCTCTGTCCCCCTGTGCCTGACCCTGCCTACCACAGCACAGGTATCACCCTGGAAACCCTTCCACCCAGGGCCTCACTCCTGTCTCGCAGATACCAGTGGCTATTTGCATGATCTCCCAAGGAGTTACAGGGAGACAGCGTGGCACTCTCAGTGGCTTTGGGGGAGGGATTTCCAGCTTGGAGCACTTCTTGGGAGCCCAGACACACTGATAGTGACCCATCATCACATCCAGACAAACCACTGAGAACTTTAAAACTGCCGTCATCTGGTTTATTGACAGGTAAATTGTTCAAAAATGTTCTCACAATTCAATAATTACAAAGACTCAGACTTACATTAAAAAAGTAAAAACCAGAACCCCCAGCAAGTGCCTGCCCAGCAAATGGCCCAGGAGGGCAGGTGGGGCAGGCAGGTACTGGGTGGTGCCAGGTCACTCAGTGCCGACTTAGGGAAGTGCATATCCTGAACAGCCCTGCCAAGCAATTGACCAGTGGAAGGATGGGAAACCTGTCCTGAGCTGGGGACAAGCTGTGTCTGCTGCCACAGTTAATCACAAGCCTTTAATGAGACAGGGCCACAAACCTGATCACTCAACATATACAAGAAAGGGTGAGGTTAAATGCACTTGCAGGGTGTCACCACGCGGTGGGCTGGGGCCATTGTGTCGGAGCGTGTTGGGTGATTTTACATGATCCATATGGTTACTAATCACGGGGGCTCCATGCGGGGTAGGGTAGGGCGGGGTTGGGGTGTCCCAGAGCCTGATGTGTGGCACACCTTGGGGCTCTGGCCTCCTCAGCCCAGCAGGCCATAGGGCCCGCCTGTACCACAACACTGGCTAGTTTTATGGGGAGGCAGAAGTCATGGAAGCAAGTGCAAAACAGCACAGCTGACTTCACAGTAGATACTGGTGACACTTCATGGTTGTGACCTAGACTGAACTAACACATGGAGACACAGGGTGTCATTGGTCCCAGGCCTCTGTCCACACCTAGGTGGTCAGCAGGAGGACTTCTGCAGCTGAATATTCAATGGCTAACTGAATAAAAAGGCCACAAACTAAGCCCCACTTTTCTCTGTCTTCAAAATTCTAGTGACACTGGGAATGATACACAACCCTCTACTACTTTCCTAAGGTCTAGGAACAGTTTTCAGGAAATAGGAAAAGACTAGTCACTGAGGCCATGTCCCGAGCTGTCTGCTTCCTAAGCAGGCCACATTCTAACGGTTTCTGTGGAGGGAGCTGGTGTCAGCAGAGCCCACGTGCCTTTTCGGGATGTTAGGGGTGGGAGAGAGGCTGTGTGGTGGTCCTTCATGTGCAAATGGAATAGTGTCATCTCACAGCTGTGCAGACAAATGGATCTGGTCTAATTGCCACAAACAATGTGGCATAAAAACTGATCATTATTATAATAAACATTTTCTTCATCTTCATATCTACAAATTGATTCTACATTTCCTTGGACAACACTGGAGGGTCAGCTCAGTCTTGGCACTGACATTGGATGCTGTCCCCAGCTCCATGGCCCCATGGTGGGCTGGCGGCTTCAGGCGTCGCAGGCCGGCTGCTCCAGGCCTTCCAGGGGGAGCTGGCTTCTGTGGGGGGAGTTGGGGCTTGGTGGGCCGCTGGGGTTTGAGCTGTTCGATGGGGTTGAGTGTTTGGTGGAATCCGAATCAGGCTGTTAAACAAAGGAGGCAGCATGAACACCAATTGTCCTGAGCTCAGCAGGCACACGTTGCCCAGTCAGACATGAATGTCTGTTCAAGGGTAGATGCAGCAACTGCTTTTTTCCTTTCTTATAATCAGAACACACATTTTATTTCTATTCCTTAAGCTTGTTGGTGATTGTCATGAACCAACATCCAATTCTACTCCCAAATGACTTAGTGATTGTAATTACAAAAGAGAAAGAGCAACTCTGCAGTGAAGAAACCGGACAACTTACAGCCAAGTGGTCCAAACAGGACACCACTTTTCTTTTTTCTTTTTTTTTTTTTTTTTGAGACGGAGCCTCAAGCTCTCCCCCTGGGTAGAGTGCCATGGCATCACGCTCACAGCAACCTCCAACTCCTGGGCTCAAGCGAGTCTCCTGCCTCAGCCTCCCAAGTAGCTGG